CTTCTTCTTCTTTTCTTTAAAGCTCCCAAAATTCTGTCTTTATACTATGAAAGATGAAAAGTCAAAGCTCACTGGCGGGGAAATAGAAACACACCCGTGGAGAGTAACAGAATTTTAAACATGTGCCTCTTTTCTTTTCACATTAAGATGCTCAAGTTGGCGACACAGACCTGTAGACGACAAGGACACAGTCTGTCTCACAAGTTGAGATTCAATTAGTCGGTACAGGATTCCAAAATAAAAACAAAAAGCGGATGACAAGTTCAGGAATAAAAGACAAATAAAAACCCTCCACTGCTTTAACCATTGCACATTATTCCAGCATCATATCTTGATCCCCTGCTCAGGGTGGATGATGGGTAACAGCCGACACACAGCTTCATGTTTTGTCATCATCATCACCATAAAGAGCACATCCCTAATTGTTCTAGCCAAGGCTATGAAGAACACAGCTGTCACATCATCAAAAACGGGCACACACACTGGATATCTGGAGGTAAGGCCATGTGCAACAACGCATGAAAAATGCAATTAAAAGACCACAAAGAGCAGATTGTGTTATTTAGTTTAGCAAATTCATAATATGGCCTATAAGCTCATCAGTAGCCTGACTTTGGCTTCACCAGCTTGACAGATATCAGGTGATTATTGCAGGTTAAAGTGACCCACAGGAAAAGGACGGCGCGCATCCCTCTTTCCAAACCACCAGCCGTAAATACTGAAGGCTAAATGAGAATTAAACCTGTGCAACATAAACACACACACACACATTCATATACAAACTACAGGGCCAATTAACGCCACTTAAGCCTGGTATTTTACAGGGCTTAAACCTTATAAAACACCTGTTAGAGCATCTCAATGACAAGAAGAGTTCGTCTAGTTTAGAATTGTTGGACCTCCACAAATGAATGAAGCCACTTACCGTGTTTATCCAGGTGAACAGGTGCAGTCCAGGGGAGAAAGAAAAAAAGAAAAAAAAAAGAAAAAAGGAAAGTGAATTTACCACCAAATGAAGTCCTGGAGGACGGACTGCTGCGCTCTTTGGTTACAGTCCCGAGAAGAAGACAACAATACAAATAAACCCAGAGCTGAGCTTCAGTTCTCCGCTAGATCCCACCACACACAAGGTGACCTTGCTTTTGTTGAAGTGGGTTTGATTTGCTGATATTCAAAGCGAGCCTTGTCTGTTTATTGTCATTGCGCACGGATGAGTCACGGCCAGTCCCACCACCTCCACCGGTGCTGCACATTAGTGGACCCGTCTGCAGGCGCTCTGCAGGTTGGACACTGAATGGCGCCGCTTTCGGCCCCTGAAGTGTGACTTTTTTTTTTTTTTTTGTGGAAGTGTTGATGGTCTTCGGATCTATATAGCTCTGGTTTGAATCCTGGTCACGAACATGGACTTGAAGTTTGATGCTATGAGCAACACATTACGTGAGGAGGGATCAGGATCGAAGAGGGGAGGAGGGGGGAGAGATCGCTGGTTTTGTTCTTGTGGAAAAAAACAAGAGGACAACAGAAAAGAAAGCCCCACAATCACAAGCCTAAATGCTCCTTTAATTGCTTTTATTTATTTATTTCTCCCCCTACCAATCCTATGAGGGATTTTCCGATCTCGGCATTATGAACTGAGATCACTAGAAACATTTGCAGGTGATCTTAACGCCTACTTGTCATCAAATCTTCAGAACCCACCTGTCATAAACATCTTATTTACCCACTTTTTGTGCAGACAGGATGCTGTTTGAATGGTGAAGATGTAACCTACGACATCATGACACACTGGAAGGACGAAAAGCCGAAATCCACAAGGTGGCAGTGAGAAACCAAGAATGACTCCTGCAGGAGCGGCGCACAAATGGGCCATTCCAGAAATACTCCATGAAGCTAATTATAAACCGAGCCATTAATCTGGAACATGTCACCATCATACATGAACACAGGGACATGAGTGGACACACACACACACACACACACACACACACACACCTTACAACCCATAAGTCTATGGGAGATCTCTTATATCATGAATCTGATTAAAGGTCATTTTGTCAAGTTGTGACACTATAAAACACAAAACTCTACCTTACAAATGAAGACTGTATCTGGAGTGTTTTTAGCACCGGACAGCTCCACAGCCCAGACTCCTCTACAGGCTGAATTATGGGCAAAATTGAGTTTCAGGCCTGGTTTGACATCCTTATTCCTCCCTCTAGGGGCCCCCAGAATTGCTGTGTCTCAGTCAGGATTTGGCCGTTTCACTAAACATATTTTTATTTGGGAATAAGCGTCATGTAAGGCCAATACTAAATGATTAAATCAACCATACAGACTATATTCAGAGCAGGGCTCTTTTATAAGATGGTCCAGCTTCTTGTACAATCTTCTTAACAAATGCATTTCTGCTTGTCACACATCTACGTGTCCTCTGCCAATACTTATCATGAGGTTTGTGTAAAGAATAAGCCCCCTGCAGTGGTGATGACATGAGAGAAGTTTTCTCCGTTTTCTTTGTTTCTCTGCTGCAAAGGAGTGGTGTAAAAAAAATAAAAAATACAACAAAAGATGTAAAAACCAAAGGGATAAAGGGGTGGGGTTGTTTTTCCAGCAGTAGCTGTATGAAACCATCCACAAGATGGGGCATAATCCAAATGTAGAAAGAGAGAGGGAGCGAGAGAGAGAGAGAGGGAGAGGAGGGGGATGTCAGGGAAACAGACTATTCCTGTGTTTGTGTTTGTGACAGTGATTATTTTCAATGCAATCTGTGAGCAAAATCTGACTTAAACAAGTCGAGTCATCTGAACAGCCAGTGACTGAGAATAAGCCTGTGAAAGAAATACAGACCCTCAGAGAGAGGGGGGCAAACGTTGCCTGGCCCTGTTCTTGTTTCTCTCAGATCCTGCAGCTGTCAGTGAGTTTCCCTCGACTGTCACATGGTGTCACACGGTGTCACACAGTGTCACACAGTGTCTCACTGGTGTCACCAGTATAAACTTTTCATCTTTTCACCCCTGTCTTCAACTCAAGTAGCACCCAGGCTCAAATCTGCCTTGAACCAATAGTCCTATGCAGAAATAAAGAGGTAAATAAAATACTTCATGGGGAAGTTCACAAACAGAAATACAGAAATTACTTCCGGTGTCACCAGAGATTCTTTTCAAGTTTTTAAAAGAAGTTATATTCCAAGAATCAGTCTATAGACGATTATTATAAAACTCAGCCTCTGGCAAACAGACACCTGCTGAGAGAAGACGCATGCTAGTGACGTTTGACTCTTAACCCAGAGCTCAGCACTGAGGATTAAAGATGAAATGGGCAAACGCTGCACTGTGTGAAAAGCCCTGTTTGATCTTGTTAAAGCAGGTGAAGCTATGATAACATCAGCAGTCATCATCTGGGAACGTTTCAGGGCCGTAACCAGAATCTTAGAAGAACTGGAGCCGTGAGTCCACGCCCCCCTCTTCTACAACACCAGAAAGGTCTTCCTTCCTGAATCACTCTGAGGATGATATATTGGATAATTAATGAGAACAGACTTTGAGGTACTGAAAATGAATTTAACAGAGGTGGAAGGTAACAAAGTGTTTCTTAAGCACGGTACTCAAGTGCTCAGTTCTAGGTACTACTTTTATTCCACTACATTTCAGAGGAAAATACTTTTTACTCCACAACATTTATCTGACGTGAGCGTTACTCATCTATGTGACTTGTTGGCAGTTTCCCCTGAAAGAAGAGAGAATCTAAATCTAAACTTCTCTTCTTTATTTCAATCATCTGTTTTAAGGCCCAAAGAGCTAAAACTCAACAAAATATCATAAAAACACAATGATCTGAAAAATCTTAATAAAATAATTAATCTGAATTAACATGTCAGAACATATGTTCCCTATGAGGCTGCCCCATCCCCAGGTTGGGAACCACTGAAATGAACTATATAAAATAGTTAAAACTACCTCCACCAACTTCAAGCAGCTACAACAATTAAATGCTGCTACACACTGATGCCTCTGTATTACCAATGTAAATTATTGTATCATCACAGGGGGCAAATAAGTACCTTACAGTACATCTAGCTGATACTTCTTCTGTACTTTCAAGGTCCAGTGTTTAACATTTAGGAGGATTTATTTGCAGAAATGGAAATATAATAATCATAAGTATGTTTTCATTAGT